ATACACTATATGATGTTTATTCATATATAAAATTTTTGTTATTTAATAATTATTATGTGTGAATTCCTATGATAAAATTATGAACATAAATATATTTACAATTAAAATAATATTTAAGCTAAGGTGGGTGATTACTACATGTCTTAAACTATATTAAAAATTTAGTACATAGTATTTAATATTATAAATTTTTAAAAACTTAGTAAACTGATAGTAATTGAATTGCAATTTTAGAGTCACCACGGATCAAAATTTTTAGACCTTTGAGATTTCTAACTCTAGATGTAGCAATATACAATTGACCTTTAAAGACCAAAATCACAATCTTAGTTAGAACATTGATTTTTTCTTCCAAATACTATCGAATTAAGTGTGTAATCAATAAAAGATGAGAACTAATAATTCGAGAATATAATCTTAATATTACTAAGCCTACTTCACGTCAATTAAGTTGGAGAGTGTTGTTGGATAGTATCCGATGAATCCACGAATAACGCATCTTTGTCACCGTAGTTCTCAATATGCACATCAACAATCTTAAATATTAAGTCACATAGCTATGCTATATATTAATTTCAAACATATGGACTTTGGAGTTGCATGCATGCTTCTTAAAGCCATCTAATTTTCACATCTTAAAGTCATATGGTCAGGGACGGAGGCAAAGGGGGGGCAGCTGCCTCCCCTCACCCGACCCCCACCCTTACCCTATATATAGCCTTTATATATATATATATATATATATATATATATATATATATATATATATATATATATATATATATATATATATATGTATATACAGTACATTATAAGTATAACTATTACAGAACAGATTATGTAATCAAAAGCTTTAGTAGACAAGGTGGTAAGAGGTGCGTTTGGATTTAAAAATGGCTTGGGTGTGAGTCCTTATATTAGCATGGTCACAACTTTCTACATCTTTGCTTCAACACAATTAAATTTTGACATCCATATATACTAATAATGAGATGTCTTTTTTTTTTTTTATAATAATAATAATGAGATGTATATATCACTTTTTTTATATTAATGCAATGTCACAATCTTCTACATCTTTGCTTCAACACAATTAAATTTTGGCCTCCATACATATATATTAATAATGAGATGTCTTTCTTTTTTATAATAATAATGAGATGTATATATCACTTTTTTTTATATTAATAATGGGATGTATATATAACTTTCTTTATATTAATAATGGGATGTGTAATTTATAATGTGTTTTATATTTGAATTGTTTTATCAAATTAATTATGTTTCATATTTTGTTATAAATATTTTTATAAAATTTTAATATGTTTTATTTTCGCTATATCCAACAATATTTATTGTTATACTTAAGTGTTTCATTTTTTTAAAAAAAAAAATTTCTCTTTTCTTTTAATTTTTTGCTCCCACCGAAAAAAATTCCCGAATTCACCACTGAATCCAGCCCTACTTCTTTGCCCCCCCCCCCCCCCCCCCCCCGCCCAATCAACATAATTTCTGGCTCCGTCCCTGCATATGGTCTTGTGAAAATTAAATATTATTAAATGCAACATTTAATTTTCACATCTTAAAGCCCATTTAATTTTCACAAGACTTTCACATCTTAAAGCCATATGGTCTTGTGAAAATTAAATGCAACATTCAATTTTCACAAGACCAAATAGTTTTATTATATATAGGATAAATGTTAACCCTTAGGGTTGAGATTCAGCTTTTTGGAAGAATTATAAATGTTAATCTGTTTTTTTCAATCAACCCTACCTTTACGGCATTAAACTGCAGAACCACATCATATTTCCAAAAACGCATGCAAGGAAAAGCAAATAATCTATAAGTATTAGTGGATATTTAATTTATTTCCCTTGTGATGAATATAATGTACTATTATATTGAGTTCAATGCAGCTATATATAAATAATTTTAAAAAAAATATCAAACAGCACTGACAGACAACTACAACAAATAAAAATACAAGTCCGAAGAAAAACAACCTCAGTTGATCGAAGAGCAGCTGTACGTTGACCTCGAAATATATTTAATTAAACCATAATTTATCCCAGGTGAATAATCGATATAAAATATAGCTTGTCTGCAGGCTAGATATTTCCCAGTGAAAGCAACTGATAATAATACATTAGTTAATTAATTAATTAATTAATTTAAATTTAAATTAAATTTGCAGCATTACCACCCTTAGTCTTCTACCACGAACTTGGAGCATACATGTTTAATTAACAATTACGGAACCATTATTCAATTCTAATTAAGTATATATACAGCAGAATGCAGATAAGAACAAGAAGCTAGGTTTCAATTATTGCCTCCAATTGATGTGACTTTCTCATATATATATAGTCGAATTCAAACCTTTCACTTCAACTAATGATGTTTGATTATGCCATGTATGTCGTTCCAACACTAACGTGACATTTTATTGTACTTTAATTAATCCCACATTAACCAGCACGCACTTTGGGCAAACTTGATTTGAGTGATGAGGTTTATTATTATTTTTAAATATAACGGATAGCGATTACATTTGTGACCTTGTATGATATGTAGAGTCACATATTTACGCTGTTTGATTATGAGATTTTTTATTAATTAATTTAACTTACGGAAAAATTAGCAGCAACTATTATTAGAAAAGTCGTTTTTGGGAGAGTTTCACCTTGTAACCCTAATTGGTAAAGGACCAAAACAAAGTTCAACATTAGGGTCCCATTAAAAATAAGGGCCCAGTCTAATAGTTTAATAGTTTTTGTTCCAAGATGCAATCTAAATATAATAGAGTAAAACGAGAAAAACAGACAATAATAGAGAGACGAATATAAGGGAGAGAGATTTTTTTAACATATAGATTTCGATATAATGATACATATAAATCTCTATTTATAAAAGTAAGAAACATAATTAAAAAAAAAAATCTTAAAGATAAGGATAGAAGTCTTGATCTAGAAAATCTATATAACTGAAATAATTGAGTCCAATAAATCAATTTGGACTTTAAGTTAATTGTATTATGTGACAACAAATAAAAATGTAATAAAAAAATTTTGTCCAACTATATGCATAAAAATTTAACAAAGAAAAAATAAAATTCAAAATTTAATTTAAAAATGACATTTTCATACATATTTAAATACAAAATTATTCACCAAAATTTCGATGTCAATTCTTTCTAAAATTTTATTTTCAAGTACAATTAAAATCAATCTATGGATTCTAAAAATAATAACTTATACATAAAATATTTTTATAAAAATAAAATAAAATTGGGGGCTTGTGTCGTCGCCTTGATCGAACATGACCAGGGCTAGCCCTGACCAATGTAATTAATTGCTCGATCAACTCGAATAGGTTGTCTTAAAAAATTAATTTGTTTGAGCGATAAAGTTTGATGTGTTCATCCGTCATAGGTTGACGTGCTTAAAAGTAGTTTTCGTCAAAAATCCTGTGGATTGAATGACTGGAAGGGATAAATTAATAATAAAAGAGGTAATAACGTACGTAATCCGATTGGTCGGTTTGATATGCATGAATAAATAAGTGAATCGTTAATGACCATATAAGAGGTTTTACTGAAATTAATTATTGCTATCCGATAGGATTGCAGTCCGTCATAGAATCTCTGTTTATACTTGCGATGCAGGATGCAAATCTAGGATAAAAAAAAAGTATAGATTATGATTTATCTCTTTCATTAATTTTTAAAGTAAGATCAGTGATAAATCCAATATAGACGACACTAGTCAAATATATATTCATACAATACTTTGGCTTTCAATACTTCTAATTAACGAGTTAACTAATTCTCTAATGGAGTAAGTGCTTGACTCTAAGCACCCGAGTTCTAATACCATACCCTAAACTTTCAATTTTTGAACTATTGTCAAGAGAGGCAGAGAGCCTCAATGTAGATTAACGGACGAATTAAAATGTTTGACATATAATCAATTTTAACTTCATAATGCTGGCTAGCTAGTTTTGCAATTGGCTGCCTGCAGCTGTCGGGTCAATCATATATTCAATTCAGAAAGGCAATAATAACCACCTGATATTATATTAATCAGAAATTACTAGTTATGTGGACTTTCAAGTTCTACTCCAACTTTCAAATATAGACATTTTTTTTTTGAGACTCGTTTGATAGAAAAAGTTTATATTTATCTGCTACATCAGAGATAAAAGTGAAAGAGCAGAATTTAAAAGTAACGTAGTAGAACCCAGAATCATTAATTAGTTGGTAAGACCAAATTAACATGCAATACAACATGCATGGAAGCTAGCTAGCTAGGTTCATACTTCATATTATGCATGAAATTTTTACGTACAAAAAAGTAGAAATTTCTCGCGGGAGCCTTATAGTGGGGCTTTGCTTTCGTATGGAGGCCTCGTCGGCTTTGGAAGCCGAAGCTTTATCTCTTTAGCGTGCTTTCTACTGGTGTACCGCTTTTGTCAAAATTCCGTTCGTGGTGGAGGTGGACTCTCTAGCCCTTGCTACTTTGTCGGGGTCCGAGATTTCCAAGATTCCATGGCGAATCGAACATGCGGTGCTCTTCATTCGCTCTTGTCTGAGTTCATGCGGCTCTACAATCAGACATGTTTATCGCGAGGCCAACCAAGTGGCGGATGGTCTTGGAACGGCGGGTCTAAGTGTTTAATTTCTTCCCCTAGGCTTTTTACTTCCGTTAATTCTTTGTCGGAAAAGGCTAAACTGGCTTTATTGTATGATCTTATATGTTTTGCCTCCCCTCGGGTTGTTTGCCGTTAATAAACAAGATTCTTACTTTAAAAAAAAAAAAAAAAAAAAGCAGTTCAAAAAAAAAAAAATTGGAAATTTATATATTACTCGGATCCGTAATTATTATGTATGGTACTAAATTAAATCTGCATAATGGACATGTATATATAGTATATGGGGGTATTGGTATTAATTAATTAGGAAATAACGTAGCTTGAGATGGAATCCTTAGCTTCTTCAATTCAATAATTCAACCAATATAATATAATTAATTAATTAAGCAGGTAAGCCATCCAGATTGATTAGAAACTAATTAACTAACGTAACACGGCGGATATGATTAGAATTTAACATCAAAGCTGTACTCGGATTCAACGATTCCGACCTTCTTCCCCAGCTGGAGATTGTCGACGACGAGAGAGCAGTTGACATAAACGACGAATTCCCTGGATTCTAACTTCTCCATTACGATGCTCACCGGCGCTTCCACCTTCACAAGCAGCGGTATTCTCCCCGTTTTCTTGTTCTCTTGAAGCGCCTTCTGGAGATCCGACCCGAACTCGCTTTCCCCCCTCATCTCGATCACCATTACCGTCGTGTTCAAGGGCTCCTGGGTGAAATGAGGCAGCTCGCCGGAGGAGAGAACGGAGCCGGTATAAGTGACGACGACGGAGCTGTTCTTGTGGTACACGAATCCCACATGGGCGTTAGGGTTTTCGGCCTTCACGCGCACCAGCAAATCCGTTGTCAGGCTAAAATCATCCTTCACGTCGAAGTCCTTCACGTCCATGCCCTCCACCGTGTACGCCGGCATCTTGGGCTTGTAAACGTGGTAGAGGTAGAAAGCCAAGCCGCCCAGGACGAGGATGAAGATGAGGAGAAAGCAGCAGCAGCAGCATATGCATTTGCAGCAGCAACTCGTCGATGATTTCTTGGGTTGGTACGATCTGGGGACGTTGCGGCGGTGAGGAGGCGGCATGGCTCCGATATCCCTTCCGTTTTAACTTCCGGCAGCGCAGGCAAGGAAGAGATTAATGAATTGAAGCTTGGTAATTAAGGCCAGGGGACATACATGCATGCATGCATGGCGGTTTGATTTTGTGTGGTACGTGCAAATGATATGATGGTGATGAATTTGTTGGGCTAATCCACCACCAAATATGAAGCAGAGGGTGATTATTATTTTGCAGGAGGTATATATATATCACCGGTGGAAATAAAGATAGAAACAGAATGGGTTACATTCCTCAACGATATATCTCATCTTTACATATGTTTGGTTAAAGAGTGTATACCATATTTACTTGAATGTTGGCTTAAGGTTCCAAAAATAGATTTACATACCAACCACACAATAAAAGTAAATTACACTAGAACAACAGTGATATACATATGGGCAAATTATATCATGCACCGCGCATCAAAACAACGTCGTTTTATTTAATGAAAAGAAACGGCATCCGTTTCGTGCCGTTCCGCAAAAGATAACTCTGTTCTTCAGTTTCATTTTGTATACACTGCAGTTTCAGTACAGTTCAACACAACTACAATTTCATTTCGATATAACTACAGTTTCATTCAATATTTATACACTCAAATATGTGAAAATGTTATTTAATTTTATTTTATATACACTATAGTTTAATTAAAACACAACTACATGATCATTTAGATATAATTACAGCTTTATTGTACAATATACACTCAAATATGTGAAATGTTATCCAGTTTCACTACTACAGTTTCATTTCACCACAACTACAGTATCATTTTAATATAACTGCAGTTTCATTTGATAATATAAAAATAATACGTGAGGCAGTATTGGTTTAGATACACTGTAGTGTCACTCTGTTAACACTAACAACGCGTCATTTCTTTATTTAAAGAAACGACACTGTTTTGATGTGCGGTGCATAATCGATTATGCATTGCGGTCCACAATATAACAACTGGATATATGATTGATATATTGATTTAGACTATTGTTAAATTGGCCCGGTACCCATTAACCCAATTCCAGCCCAGACCCAATCACCCCTGCACATAGACCATCTGGGCTCATTTTTAAGTTGGCCCAGATCCATTCCATCCATTTGGCTACCGGGTCCCAACAAATTATTCTATATACTAAATATATTCACTTTGCCCAGGAACAAACAATGAATAAAAGGAACAAACAATGCATACATCCTGGTAGATTTGAATGAACATTCCAGCAATGAGATCAAATCAAATACATGGATATTAAAATAATGTACATTATTAAGAAGATGGAATTAACAACACCTAAAAACACGAGCAGGCGAACCAATAACCCTAATACCTGCAGACCTGGTATTACAACGCCTCATGAAAGACACAACCTTAACCAGAGCCGTTCTGATCACTCTAACCACCACTTTCCTCAACCTAACCGTCCTCGACCTCACCGACGACGACTGCAACTTATAGCCTCGAAGGAAAATCAGCCGCTTCCTGGCCCGTTCACGCCGATAGCTCAAGGAAGTCCACGCGATGATGGGGCTTTGCCGGCGACTCTTCATCTTTCCCGATACCGATCTCCGGCTACCACTTCCATCATCATCATCATCACCACTGCTCTCTTTCCCTCTTCCAGATTCATCTTCATCTCCCCTTACAATCTGATCCAACGGCTCGTAGGAATCAACTCTCCGACTGAAATGTAACGGCGTGCTGCTTTTCACTAGAGTTTCCATTGCTCAATATATGTGGCCGGGAACAATGAAATCTTTATATATGCATGTCGTTTTGTTTCGAATGTTGTCTAAACAATTAAGGTTTGACTGTGGTTGGGATTTTCTTGTTTCTTTAACTTTCCTTCCACTTATGGCGGCTGGAGAAAAGTTTGCCGTCTACACTTATATGCAATATAATGAACAGTACAGTATAATCCAACCTGCCAAATCGTATAAAATGTGAATAAGATAGCATAAATCTCTTTAGTTTTACTTTAAATAAAAGAAGTATTTTGACACCATTTCAGACGATCCATGAGGTCATACCCAGTGGTCTCACCAAAAATCAAACCTGCTAGATCTATCCATGAGGTCATACACGGTTAGAACCAAACGGTAGACTAAAAATACATATTTCCTTTAATTTGTTATTAATGTCAATGGTTATGTGGTCAAAGTTGAATTGAAGCTTCTAATTAGGCAGAGAATTGTTCGTTAAATATGGGTAACTGCATGGTGGATTATTTTAATACGGATATGAAAAACGAGCAAATTAACTAAGGTTTGATATCATAATGTTTTTTCGAATTGATATATGAATTAATAAGATGCACAATCTCATTGGAGTAATGCAACTTTGTATGCTCAATTGATAGATTAGTCATCATGAAAACTATAAGGAGTTATAGATTTATAACATTTCAGTTTAATTTATTCTACCCTGCTACCGATTTTATATCCTACTAAATTACATCCATAATTCCATATATCCAACAATGGTCCTGTTTGGTAAATATTTGTTGGCTGTTAACGGTAGAAAAGTGTTTGGTAAATTAGCTGTTAGTTGATAGCTGTTTCGTATAATTTCTTTTATGAAAAAGCTAATTGAAAAAGTTGTTTAGAATAGCTTTTTGAATTTTAGCATTTTGGAGTTGCAAAAAGTTAATTAGCCAAACACTTGTATTGATATTTTAACTAAATCAAACAATTAATAGTAATCAAATAAGTTAAAATTGGCCTATACGCCAATATTTTACCAAACTGAGCCAATAACTAGAAAACCATCTATAAAAGAAGAAAAACGTAATCTTGAGGAGGGGGAATTCTCTGTCTAAACATCTCCACTGATTCCTTATCTATATTGTGTTTATTCAATCATAATTTATTAACAGTTTATATCTTAAGGCCGGAGAGGATTCTCTCTCTAAACATCTCCACACCAACTCAATAAAAAATATGATCGAAGACTCCAGCCTCGTCCATTATCACATCATGAATGTCGACTTAATCTAAAAAGACTCAAATTTTGTTAAGTTTGTTCGGGCGGATAAGCTCATTATAATTGCCTATACAATAAATATTTCAATGTCTAGACATAAACTAATGAACATTTCCTACAAATCTCACATCTAAATCATGCTATAAGGACCAAAAATTCTTTATCATCATCATCTTATGTGACACAATAAGTAATTCATTTTTTTTTTTCTAATGTGGTGTGGGTTACATTCATATCCCCAGGCGGGCATGACCATTATTTGCTTTCATGCATGAACTTCAACAGAAGAACTACTATACATATTCAATGGACAATAATATAATGGGTAACTTGGTAAGTCCAACCGCGCAGCTAGCTTCGCGGTTGTTATGTCGTGGACCGTGGTGCACATGCACCGCGGCCAAAACGACGCCGTTTTTTTAAGTAATGAAACGGCGCGCCGTATGTTAGTTTTAACGTATCGCGTATTTTTTGTATGTTAATTACCAATTGACAATACAGTATATCTAAACCGACATTGTCTTACGTATTATTTTTATATTATCAAATGAAATTGCAGTTATATCAAAATGATACTGTAGTTGTGGTGAAATGAAACTGCAGTGTATATAAAATTAAACTGAATAACATTTCACATATTTGAGTGTATATTGTACAATGAAGCTGTAAGTATATCAAAATGATCATGTAGTTGTGTTTAATAAAAGTGTATATAAAATAAAATTAAATAACATTTTAACATATTTGAGTCTATAAATATCGAATGAAACTGTAGTTATATCGAAATGAAACTGTAGTTTTTTTTAACTAAAACTGCAGTGTATGCAAAATGAAACTGAATAACATAGTTACTTTTTGCGGAAGGGTGCGGAACAGCGGAAAACGGATGCAGTTTCTTTTCATTAAACAAAACGACATCGTTTTAATGCGTAGTGCATAATCGATTATGCACCGCGGTGCACGATATAATTTGCCCGCAGCTAGCTTAATTGTCTGGGGACCCACCTTTGTATACGACGTTCAGGGTTCCGCAACAGCCGCTGCTCCTACAGTCCTACGTACGGCGCGGCCGGATGGGCCTCTATTCATTTCATTTTCACCTTTGAAGCATTTATTCATTTCTGGCTTTCCTGTTAATTTTACGTAGCGTATGTATCTTCATGAAACAACTCAATTAGTTTGTTGTAGGAATTGTCTACTTTACGTGTCATGTTACTATTAATCTACGTAGCAGGAATTATACTTCTTGATCGGGAGACCATCTATCATTTTGGATAACTTTAAAAACTGATGAGATTTAAGGTGTTTTTAGTTCAAACATTGAAATCAAAACAATAATGAATATTAAATACTTAGTAACGGTAATGAGTTTAAACTTGTACTTTCGACCCAAGAAAGTAAATTAGTCTAAATTACTTATAATTAGTCTCCGTCAAATTAAACTTAATGTCTTATGATTATCAAGTTAATTGTTGGATCAACCAGACTTATATATGAGTAGTGGGAGTTATGTACATTGGGCAGATGCGTAAATACATCACGTGGCAGGGAAGACACACACATATGACTTTGTTAAAGCTAAGGTGGTAAACATTTATTGGACTCACACAAACTAAAGGTAGCATATATTATATAAATATTGGATGGCAATATAATGGCATTTAAAGCTATATATGTAATTACCTAGCTAGGCTGCTTTCTCCCAACTCGATCACGGAAAGAAGCTCTACATCTTTATCGTCCGCAGTAAATTCTTCCGTTTTCTGCATTTTATTATCCTCTCACAAAATTTTACTGTGTAAAGTGTGTGAAGAGGGCAGGGTATACTAATACATGGCATGATCACCATAGCTTCGAGCTCACTCCCCCTGTGATGTCTGCACCTTCTCACCCTCTTTCATGTGACCTTCTTCCTCCCTGTGATCTGCGTCAATTCATCTGCTCTAGCTACTTTTCTCTTTCAATTCATATATATATATATATATATATATATACACACTCCGTATATTTATATATCCGTGCATTTCTTCCATTGTTGTGCTGCTAGCTAGCTTCCTCCGCCATATATAGCTTCCGTTTATGATCAACAACTTAACAGCGCAAGTTGCCATATATATATAATTAACTCAAGTTGCCATGAAGGGCTGCGCTGCTACTCTTCTCATCATCATTCTTCTCCTTTTTTCCCCATTTGCCATGCCTGCTAGGCTTATCGGAAAGTTCAACCCAAGTAAGTTACAATAGACTTCTTTATTTATTTATTGAGTGTCTGGAGAAACCTATAGCCACTATCTGAGGTGTGAATTAGGTAAACTTAGCCTGTAATCCCAATGAGCAAATGACCAGTTTAGGTTAGTCACAGCTGACTCGGTCAATAGGCTCCACTTCTTTAATTTTCTTACTTAATATCACCACTTGAAATTATGGAATTTCCGATCACCTCTCGAAAGCAAAAAGTGGTCGAAAATAGCAACAAAAATTTTTTCGAATACCAAAAAGTGGTCGAAAGAAGGCTTTCGGATCACTTTCAGTTAGTCGGAAATTCCATAATTTCCAGCAGTGTATGATGGATGCATGGACATGCAGCAGTTCATGAGCATCTATATAGACAAAGATAGGATTTTGGTGGATGTTGAACATTTGTGGTTTAATTTATATATATATGCAGATGAGAGGCACGGCGGCGAGGAGTCATCGGCGGCGGAAGTTGGAGGGGAGACGACGATGATGATGCAGAAAAGAGGAGATACGCTAGCGATAGCGGGATCAAGATTGCCAGACTGCTCTCACGCATGTGGATCGTGCCACCCTTGTAGACTAGTGATGGTTAGCTTCGTCTGCTCCACTCTGGAAGAAGCTGAGACTTGTCCCATGGCGTACAAATGCATGTGCCACAACAAGTCCTATCCCATTCCTTAATCGCGGTTTCTGTCACTTTTTGTACGTGACATATAGCTAGCTAGCTAATTAATTACGTAGGCGTAGCGGCTAGGTTGGGTACGGTGTACGTAGTTTCAATAAATTAAACTACTGCATGCATGTGTATTTCCATGTTACGTTAGTGTACCAAGTTTAATTTATGTTCTTATAATATAAACGCCAAATTAAAGGATCGGATAGATGATGCATGTCTTATTGCAACTTGTTTTATTTATTTATTTATCAACCCAATTCATATAATTCAAGTAATATGTGACGGGGTAATAATCCTAAGAGCTAAATAATCCATAGATTTGAAATATTGTGATTATCACACCAACAAATTGAACAAGTAGGATGATCATGGTTAATTCGGTTTGAACCGTACACTGTAAAAATTGAACCATGGCCCAAATGGTTCCGGTTCCAATTTGATAAAATAGGAAAGTGGCAGTCTAGAATCACCTGGTTTGGTTCCAAATAAAAAATAATTAGTTTAAAATTTATTTTTATTTTTTAAAATGTTAACTTTGATGTCCAATTGATTTTAATTAAGTAGGATATGACAACCAGCTACTATAGAATTCTGTGATTGAGCGTGCTTGACTTTCAGCAATCCCGGATGGGGTGACCCTGGGAGCTAAGCATAGCTGAGATCCATCAATATTTGATATAATCATTTTTTTAAATGGTAATAAAGTATTATTAATCTCTATTTTGTAACAGTTTAATAATGTTATGGTGGTATCCTAGAATACCTTATTCTTGTCTCAAAATTGAATTATATGGTAGAAGTGGATGGCTGGTTTTGGTATTTAGGTCCGGAAATGGGAATGGTAGGAATAGCGCGCGTTTTGTGCAACATGGATGGTGTTCAAAGGCAGGGCAGTATGTGCCCAGCATGCATACTCCCTTTTCTCTTTCGTTGTATTCCCTCTGCTCGGATGTCCCTCGCCACCACCGCCATCCGTTTTCTGCACCTCTTCTCCCTCCGCCGGTTTTGGCCCCAACAATTCCTCATTGTGGGCCCTGCCCATCCCTTTCCTCCACCACCGTCAGCATTTCCTTTCTTCTTCCAACCCTCACCATTTCCTCCTGTTAGACATGAATGCCATAAGAGGTACTGCTCTGCTTTTCTTTCCTTTTTCATATATCACTTTCTGATTTCTTTTTTTTTTTTTCTTTTTTTTGGGTGTTTTGTTAAGATGATGATACAACACATATGTTCTTTCCTTTTTCATGTTTTATGCAAGCTCATGAATTGGAATTCCAAAATTAAAAAAAAAAAAAAAAAAAAAAAAGTTATCTTTTTTCCTCTTTGTGAATGAAGTGCAGCAAAAAGTGGCCTTGGATTACGCTATCAATCTCCCATTCCATATGGATTTTAGTAAAAATTGTTCCTTTTTGGTTGGGCGTGTGGAGAGAGAAATAGATGTATGGAATGATGGGAGGTTGAATTGTAGGTAATTGAGATGAGAGAATGATGAGAGGTTGAATTGTATGAAACAAAGCATGGGGTGGGGCAATCATTTGGGTGACTTTTCATCAAACATGTTGGCTTTACCTTTTACCCCCCCTGCGTTTGGAACCGCGGGGAAAATCCTATCCCTCACATTTTCCTGTTCTAATGAGGCTAAGGCTTAGGCAATGCATGCTCTCTTGTGCCTTTCTCCACAGAGTAAGCTGTTCCTACTTGTGTTCTTATGTTTCTCAACTTCTCCCTTTGCTTAACCACGTTGATTAACGTCAGTTTAAGACAATACTCATTGCTGAAGCTGATAATGCTTTGGCTTTACACACTATTCGTTCTTCGTAAGACAGATTGAATCATATTCTGCTGCCTGCCTTTGTCTGCTCTAGAAATAGATATACGGTGATGTGGGTGTTGCACATTGTGTAAGAATAAAGAATTTGAATTCCTTCTGAAGTTTTAGGATTTTGTGTATAAACATATAATTTCCTTTCGTTCATATCTTCTTGCAAGGGAAAGTGATTAACCGTGATCATTCTCGTATCTTTCTCCCTTCTGGCTAAAAATGATTACAACTTTTCTATCATTGCTGAATATTTCATTAATCTTCTTTTGCATTCATTCTTCTATTCCTATACTTATTCATTAACTCGTCCAGAGGTTCTTGCTGGATGCTTATTGTTTTTTTTTTTTCCATTTTCCACTTCAGATTTCTAACTTTAAAATTATGAAATTTACTAGAAGCACTGAAGTTCTAGCAGCTCATATCTGAACTACTTATAACAATAATTTAAAATCATATTCAAACCAAATCAGAGTCACATGCCTACTTTGCTAACAGAGTATAATGAATTCAGGTTGATGAGGATGAACTTTATTGGGACAGAAGGAAGGAAGATGCAGAATCAGCGTGGTCGGATAATTCTGCTCACGTAATATCACAGTTAGCCCAGTGTTTTAGTGAGTGCATATTGTTGATACTCTTTTAGGATAGTTCTCTTACCCATATATCTCTATTATTATCATTACTTCAAAGTATATTAATATATTACTTTTGTTTTTATTGTTATCTCTGCTTATTTGATGTCACACTATCTTGCGTTAACATTTTCAAGTAGTTCTTGGGTCTTGGTATTGCACTATTTCCTTAGGATTCTTGGAAAAAATGTTGGATTGTAAATTTGTAAGGCCTGATTCTTTATGAGTGGCTTGTAATAACTGGAGCGTGTTTGATCTTTAATCACTCTTTAAAGAGAAATAGGTTATAGAAATTTGGGAATTTCTACTTATCTATCAATGAGTTTCAGCTCAAAATAGTTGGAGTATATTTGATAAATCACTCTTGAAACAGAAATGGCCTACTTGAACTTGGAATCTGCTGTTTATTTTTCTAAGGGAGCTCCTACTTTAATCTTTATGACTTAATGTTACAGTTTCACCCTCATTTTCAGCTTCTTCTTCTTCTTCTTTTTTTTTTTTTGGCTGTAGCTAATGCTATGGTTGGACCACGAGCATGGATAGGAGGAATTCTCAGCCGCTCGGGCATTAAACGGTTTGGAAGTGACAAATTTTTTGACTATATTCTAACTCCTGATGAGGTAGAATATTATTGCCTTCTTGAATAGTTGAATGGGATTATATATGCAAAATACAAAATTGCCATTCTTTTTCATATCTTATGTTATATGCCTTCTTCTTTCTTTGCCTTGAGAGAGAGCTTTTGTATTCATCACAGGAGGAAAGTCTTCAGAAGCTACAAGAAAGATTAGGAGTAGCTTTTGATGAGTCTCAGCCTGATCATCAAGTATTACCACAAAAACTCATTCCAATTTATTTTCTTACTTACTCGGGGGCTTCTGCTCATTAAATTCCCATTTCAGGAAGCGCTTCTAGCCTTGTGGAATTTGTCATTTCCAGATGTTGAGCTTAATGGCCTAGTCTCTGAGCAATGGAAGGATATGGGTTGGCAAGGATCTAACCCAGCAACCGATTTCAGGTATGTCTAATTCTTTGAGTCCTAATCCCCCCTCCCCTTAATTTTCTTCCAGGTGATTATTACTTCAAAATACGGTTTCTGTGTTCCTGGAACGTTTTTCATTCAAAATACGGTTAAAGAAGTGACTAGAAATGCATTCATATTCAACGATTATGCATTCATTTCTAAAGCTATGATTAACTGCAGTCCTCAGATGAATAGCGTTATTTATTAAATTTTCTGGATATCAGGGGTTGTGGTTTTCTTTCACTCGAGAATTTACTGTTCTTTGCAAGAAATTATCCGGTAAGGTTTTTACAGCTGTTGGGAGGAGCAAAGAGTGTTCCATAAGATAACTATCGTCTTATATGATAGCTTAAGTTGCAGAGTGTTTAACTTTAAACTGATAGTATGAAGTTCAAAATGAAGGATTGTTTCCATAGGCTACTTTTCAAGCAAATTGGAACCAGGGCAACATGGGAGTACCCTTTTGCAGTTGCTGGGATTAATGTTTCGTTTATGTTGATTCAGATGCTGGACTTAAGCTCAGGTATCTACATGATCGATCTTATGACAATGCTCATTCATATATTTTGGATTTTTACCCTTAGTGTTTTTTGTTGCAGAAAAACCGAGATGTCTTCCGGGCATTAATTTTGTTAAATTATTAGCAGGTAAGTGTTTACTCCCGAGACTAGTTTGATTTTGTAAACAGCGGGCAGGAATTGATCTGTTTTTGAAACAATTGTATTACAAGCACCTGCAGATGATGAAGAGGCATTTGATGTCCTTTATTGTATAGCATTTGCTTTGTTGGATGCACAATGGCTGGCTATGCATGCTTCATATATGGAATTCAATGTAACTCTCTCTCTCTCTCTCATTAATATATATATACAAATAGAGTGTAGCCCCGAAAGGCGGTGGTTGAGTAGGTGGAGCATGATTCTGATACCACACAGGAGTCGGGTCATTAGCTAATCTACCTGTGTTTGGTTAAGAGTTTTTGTGTATTTTCCCAGGAAGTTTTGCAAATAACGAGGATTCAATTGGAGAGAGAATTGTCTCTAGAGGACATACGGAAGATAACCGATTTACCAGCCTTCAACCTGATGTAAGTCTCTGCATGAAGGGGAAAGTGAAAAAGAAACAAAAGCGAAGTGAGTCTCACAAATTGAATCTGAAGATATGCGATCTGGAGATGGTGTAATTATGAGCAACAAAACAGCAGGAAAGATAGTTGTTATTTGAGGATTGTGAATGTGAAATTTGGGGGATTTGATGCTGCAGTGTATGAAAGAATGAAGTTGAGTCTGCAGATTTTGAGCTTTGAATGTTAATCTTAATAATATTTATTATGTTCAATTCTTTTTGTGCTACCCAACTTCATCTCATCTCTTGGCATGTCTGCTTTAATTTTCTCTCTATACTACTGCACACCACACCACCATTAGTCCACAACCCCAACCATATCTCCCCATAAAAGTTTGGTCCAATTGTAATAGCGAGTAAATATTATACGTACTCTCACTTCTTACTCTCAACTTCTACTCTGATCTATCTCATAAATTTTTGATGTAGATGCCTTTTTTGGGATATCACATGATAAAAATATCATATTCTTGTTTGTCATATTATGGAGTAAAAAATGAGGAATGGAATTTGGAATACATGTAGTAGAACTCTATCCCTAAAAGAGTGAGTTATATTGACTATGGATTTCACTTCCTAATATTCACTCCCTCACATATAAGTTACATTTTCCTAAGTAACAAATTAAACACTTCATTCCTAATTAGTATTACATTTTTATATTGACCCGGTTTATCTCACAGATAAAGATTCCTGAGACAATTTCACACAAATGTGTCCCATATTTATATTATTGGTTGTTTTTGTACTGTATTTTATGCATATAAATATATATTGGGAAGGGTTCAGGTGCAGGGAAGGCTTTCCGTGCGGTTGTGCAGTTGACGCACCTTAAGCATATAGTGCACCTTAAGTACACAAACCACGTATGCATCTTAAGCACACAAACAAAGCACTTGATCACAAACCACTGACTTTAAGTACACAAACCACGCACCTTGAAAATGTAAATCACAGACTCAATGGCTTATCAGACAGGACCAAATGTCCATGCGCACAAGAAATCTACTTACTTTGAGTATAATATCTATACTAGCGTTGACGTTTAAACTTTGATCTCTTCTCTCAAATATAATCTATTGAACCATTAAGCTAAGTCCATGCAGGCTAACGCACCTAAGCTAAAGAAGGTGGCTATGGCTTCGCATTCAAGAAAGCCCACGCACGGAAAGGATTATATTCGATGCTTCCGAAATGGCTTCCTGTACGTAATCCCTTCCCATTCAACTAACGATGGCATGCAATCTATGACTCAGATCATTAGCAAGGTGATTGTTTCAGGTTACAGATCAGAGACGGTCAACGCATTAAATTTCTGCATATTATCAGTATGAAGCTAGGGCCTAGGGCATCAATGTTACTATTAGTCAATAGTATTTGAAAAATACGAACAATTTTTAATATTACTTCTTACAAAGGGACAAAAACATTACTTCACTAACAACTTATTAACAATTAAAAGTAATAACACTATACCCACAATATGAGAACAAGTTTATTATTATTCTACAATTCAGTTACTAAAAGTATTTTTCTTTTATTATTGTATTGTTGTAAATTAAAACAAATTGCAGTGATTAAAAATAAATAAATAAACACCTCAACCTAATACTCCCATGTGCCACAGTGTTCACTAATGGTCAGTGCTAAAGTCCAGTGGCCAATAGGCATTTAGTGGTGCCGCAATCGCCAAACTAAAATCCATGCGTTCACATTCAACCTCGCTCGATGCATGCCTATGCCGTCATAATTTGTTACACCCTACGTGTTTTTTCTATATAAACAAAAATTAAAAATAGATATATGATCAAGATGATGACGGTCTCATGACCAAATAAATATTTATGTATTTTTTAAAGTGAATTTTAATATTTAACACTCGCACCATATATTAAGAATGAGTATTCGTGAACTAATTATACCCCATAATAGTATTAAACGTCTAAAGTGGTAAATAAATTTATAGTTAAGGTATCAAATACGTGTGTACTTAATTCAATGCACGGGTTTTTCATATGAAATAAAATCTCATGTTTTAGGTAAGAATTTAATAGTATTATTGGATGATTTGGTGGTTGTGTTCATCAGCCACCCCTTCCCAGAAAAGATATTTTTATTTTTTATTTTTTTTTTAAAAAAAAAAGTTGTATTGAGTCAATTGTCAACCTAATCTGATATCCAAGTGGGTTACAAAATCCATATGGTTGTTTGTAGCTGGATTAGCTAAGCAAATTAAATGAAGTGGAATACAACCAATCTTCACGAGCCACGGTTTACTGAAATGACTGAAACACGGGGCAACCCAATTAACTTGGTCAAACAGTCCATTTAATAATCACAAATTTTCAAGTTTGATTCTATTAAAATTGTTTATTAACATTCTTGATTTAATATGAATTAGTCAGATATGAGTAACTTAGTTTGATTTTGTCTTGTATTTTTTCAGTTAATGTTATAATGTGAATTTTATCAAAGTTACACTTTCAGATAACGACTATAATTTTTTGTGTAAATCAAAAGTTTGACTGAAACATAAAAGAAAGAAATGGATAGCATGCCCATGTGGGTGTAGTGTGGCGGTGTTAGGGTTTGTTTGCAGCTGAAAGTCTTCCTACCCTGGTCCAATATGGTTAGTGGTTGCACTTTTGAGATCACTTGTGTCATGTTACATGTCCCTATTCAAACATTATCACTTCCCCTTCATTCAATGCATTTTATATCTTTTATTAAACGGTTTGCGAACAAAGTTACCCATCTATTAACTAGGGACACTTTGTCTAAGTCTAATTGTGTAAACTGTTTTGGGGTCTCTTTTTCTTCTAGTTTTCATGTTTTGGATGTAGACTTTTATTAATTTAATAAAAAAAATTCTTTTCAAAAAAAATATCTTTTAATTAATTAATTAATACACGTATGGGCACATAAACACACTCAAATATCAAATACGACAATTAAACATAAATCTCAATAGATTTTTTACTACATCAATTAACACCAATTTTTTTGTATACAGAGTACAATCTTATATACTATTTCAGTTGTATTGAATATTGTCAACATTTGTTCTCATAATATTTGGTACAAACTATTCGTATACATTATATAAAAGTCACAAATGTCAATATACACCTTTAAAAAGTTCAATAACTATAAAATACATAATAAATATATTTGTTGTTGCAATCAAAGTACTAAGTTGGTAAAGTTGGGAATTAGACAAGTCATTAATTAATACCAAAATGATGTAAGATTAGGTTAATGGTGTTTGTTTCTGACCGAGTAGGTTACGCTAAAGTTAAGAAACTACCAATCGTTCACGAATTAAGGATGATTAGCATATTAGACGCTAATCTCAATTAAGTAATAACTAAAAGAGCCCTGAAAATGGGAATTCTTGTAATTGCATTAATTTAATTGAATAAAATTACAGACACCAAAATCTTTCATCAGGGTAATAGAATTTTTTTATTCACAGATTCTCATGAATTAGTCAAACAAATCGCATTATTATTATTTTTTTTTTTACTTCTTAGTTAAATACAAATGATATGCTATCATGTTGTATGGTGAATGATTTTCATTAAATAAAAAAAAAAAAAAAAAAAAAAAAAAGGTAAATTATCCAAACTAATTAATTACACCTAACTCTTATAACAACTCCGGACACGGAGTGTGTATTTGTAGTTTTGTACGCCGTACCATGAAACCAAACGCGCCCCTTTAATGAAGAAGACTACGTACGTTAAACATTCGTCAAACGAAGGGGCCCCACCCTTCTTCATCTATGTATGACACTATGAGCATCACAATAAATGTTACATTCAACTTTTTTAAATTGTAGTTAAAGGTTAAAATTCTCCAACTTAATTGTACTTCTTGAATACTAATAAATTGTGAATAAGGACACAGGATTGAGTCTTAGTAGTCAAGGCACTAGCCGTTAGTCTCCCCACCTAATGAGTTGTTCAGTCACACTATGATTTACCCATTTATCCTGTCAGTCGGGGTGTAAGGACTCTGAGTGAGAGAGGGAAATGAGTTTTTATATACAAACCTTGCAAATTTAAGGTTTTGTTTATAGACGAATTTGTAAAGAAAGGTCCCAAAACCAGCACTTTACAAGGGGCCACACGCACCAATTCAAGCATAGTGCATGCTAGCAACATGCAAAGGATACACGGCGTGTTTGACGGCAGGGGAAAGGTGATCATGCTAAAATTGCAAACACCACACATGAAACCAATTTACCTAAAACAAGATAGAGATGGAAATGGAAAAAAGGGAAGCTTAAAGGAAGAGAAACAGAGAAGTTGGTTGCAAAAGCGTGCAGTGCAAGCATTTGGGGTGAATTAATGCTGGGGGGGCTCAATTACAAAAGTTGTCATTGTCACAATCTCAGTGCACCACTACAACATCAAAGTCATGGCCAAATTGCCTCTCTCTGTCCATCTCAAACATATTACATAAGTCTTCATCCCTATATACACAACATTCCCAGACCTTAAACCCTAAGTTTGATAAACAGTAAGCTTAGCTTAGCTTGCGAATACAGTAACAGAAGAACCAAAAAAAAAAAAAAAAAGAAGAAAAAAAAAAAAGAAGAAAAAAAAAAAAAGATCGCCTGCAGTAAAAACCTAACCCCAACGACGATGGCCATATGTACTACTTTCAAGCAAAAACAAAACCAAAAAGGGAAAAGCCGAAACGAGGCTTCTAAAAAGTCAGTCAGTTCGTCTTGCCTGGCCTGCAGCTTTGTCCTCAGCCATGGCGCATGCCCATGAAGTAGTTAAAATCATGGTGTTGGACCCCCAATTGCTTTAGCCACGAATCTGCTACGCTCAATAGTGACACCATCCTCTCTTGGTCCCTACCACTCTTGTCGGAGACCCAAACATCCCCTTGCATCTTATAAGATGCTAGGCCAAACGGTGGGAGAGAGATGGCACCTTGTGCCTTCGACTTTTTAATGCCATTCCCCAAGTCATCTTCGACGTCCATATCTGGATTTTTTCAACAGTTTACACAAGAATAATATTTTTGAAAATGAAGGCCCAAGGAATATAAGCAAAGGTGAATAAATAGCCAATTCTCAAAAATGAATAATACCTTGAAAAGAAGAGGAAAGGGTGTGGAACGTAAGAAAGCAGGTGGACAAGTCCTTAATGGTTCTTCCCATGGGAATGTGATATATAGGGTACCTGAATATTTTTCACATCAATAAAGTTATGTCAC